GGTCACGGTTCAATTCCCAGTCAGGGCATATGCCCCAGTTGGGGCATGCAGGAAGCAGCAATCAATGATTCTCTCTCATCACTGCTGTTTCTATCTCTCACTCCCTCTCCCTTCCTTACTGAAATAAAATATGTGTGTGTGTGTATATGTATATATATATATATATATGTATCAGAACGACCAGAAAGACCAGTGGCTATGACACGCACTGCGGCAGCCAACTGGCTGATTGGGGCCCCAATCGCCCCCCCGCAACAGCCCACAGGCCCTCTCCCAACTGGCCCTGCCTGCAGGCCCTCCCCCCAGCTAGCCCCACCCCCAATCATCCCCCCACCCTGATCGGGGGTGGGGCTGGCCAGCCAACCTCCTGTGGCCCCTCCCCACGGCTGGCCCTCCCTGATCACCCCAAATGGGGCAGCCGGTCAGACCCCACCCGTGCACAAATTCATGCACCGTGGCTCTAGTATATGTATATGTGTATATGTATATGTATATTTGTATATGTGTGTATATGTGTACATGTATATATGTGTGTGCATATATATATGTATATATATACATATATAGCCTTCTTCCAAACAGGAGTGGAGGAACTTAATACTAAAAAAACAGACTATATGAAACTGAAAATCATTAAACCAAGAGCAAAAATGAGCAGAGACAAGTAATAAAGTGGGTAACAGGAGGCAATTAATCTCGTCAGAAAAGCTGAATAACAATAGCTTACACTTGTTGAGTGTGCATTTTATGTCAGGTTCTGTGCTAAGAGCTTTCTTTATGTACTAACTCTCCCCAGCAATCCTGGGAGGTGGGTAATGTGATAATGTTATCTTCATTCATTTTGCACAGAGCTAATAAATAGAAGAGTCTAAATTCAAACCCAGGCCTCACTCCAAAACCCAAGCTCTTGGTTTCCTGGTAGCCAAGACAAAAATAAAAACATTGGCTCCAGAAAGCACCTATCACAGGCCTGGCAACATTAGTGATGCCCAATAAGTGATTTCCCTGCCCATTCTCATACTGCTCATCGTGAGAGAGAAACTTTTTCCTGACCTTGAGCCCCACAAAGAATTTGCTCCTTGATTTTGTACAAGATACATTGATACAACATGATGGATAATGTCCCCAAGACAATGTTAGCAAAGCAGCAGAAGCATTCCACATCACATGAAAAGGGATGGCATAATGTTAGGTCCTAGTTTATTCAGTGCAATTCAGCAGGCATCTGGAGTATAGACCCAGCTACATAATGTTTTCTTAAAATGCTCCAAGTGGCTTGGAAAGGCTGGGAGGAACTCAGTGATCAGTAGGTAACTAGGCTTCTAGAATATGTTGGTTCCCCCTCACCCCACCACCACCCCTCTACCCCCGTTTCTCTTGCCCCGAAATGGTCTATGATTTAGACTTCTGCTGCCCTCTGATGGCTCTGAGAATAAAAGCACCCAGTGAAGAATCCACTCAAAACTCCGGGGAGGCGGGGGCGGGGAGAGCATCTGAGTCCCTCACCACTTCAAATAGGTCTTGAGCCCTCACTGAACACCCTCACCCTTACCAACCCTTGACCTCTGCCTCCAACAAAATCCCAAATTCTAGTTCAGCCCTTCAGCGACCTCTCTCTCTCTCCCTCTCTCTCCTGTCATTGCTGCCTGTAAGCAGGTCTGCAGCTTCAACGTGAACAAAGGTGGGCTGCCCCAGGTGAGAAGGAAAGATCTAGAAAGGACCCTTCTCCTGGTGCTCAGCTTGAGCTGCTTGGGGCTCCCCACCTCAGCAGAAAATAATCCTACATTATTTAAGATTCCCAGACTATATTTTCATTGAAAGCTCTTCTTTGCTGATATTTTTTCACTATATGTGCATGTATTCATTTTGTTTTTTTAATAAACAATAAAATGATAAGAAAAATACTGGTCAAGAGGGAATCTGTCAAAGTGTTCTGCAGCTGATCACACTGACACCAGCGCTTCCCAGTTCCCTGCAACATGAGCCTGGAGCCATAGGTGTCTCTTGCATGGCCACCGCGCGGTCAGGCCAGACACCTTTTCCAGATCAGGCAACACTGACATATGTCTACTCTACTCAAAGAGATGAATTTCTAAACCCAGTGGAAACCGGAATTTCACACTCAAGTGTGAAAACAGAGTCAGGAAAGGGGCCACAAAAACTCATCAGTGGTTTAAAAAAAAAATTGTAGTTGCACTTCACCTTTTTCCCTTAAAGCATTTCTGCAATATCCAAGATAAGCACTGATATCCTTTTCTCTCCTTGTTATAAAAGCCCTGCCTGCTGCCCAGCTGGCATGGCTCAGTGGTTGAGCATCCACCTATGAACTAGGAGGTCATGGTTCGATTCCAGGTCAGGGCACATGCTTGGGTTGTGGGCTCGATCCTCAATAGGGGGCATGCAGGAGGCAGCTGATCAATAATTCTCTCTCATCACTGTTGTTTCTCTCTCTCTCTCCCTCCTTCTTCCTCTCTGAAATCAATAAAATACATATATAGTTTTTAAAGCCCTGCCTACTTAGCAATTTCTGTCCAGATTTTAATTGCTTATGTCCTTTGACTCAGTATGGCACATACAGTTCATTACCTACTGCCCCCCCCCCCCCAACCCGGCCCATCCCTCAGCCTCGGGGACAAAGCAGGATTAATTTAAGACAGTCACATTTTCCCATTTCCATTTGCAGACATTTGCTTTTCCTGCCTCTCTTACAGCAACAGTTCTGGCCAATGAGATAAGAAGGAAGTCTGGGGAGGGGTGGTTTCTAGGGGAAATGGCCTCTGTTATTAAAAGAAGAGCACCATAGCCCTAGCCGGTTTGGCTCAGTGGATAGAGCATCAACCTGCAGACCAAAGGGACCTTGGATTCTGGTCAAGGGCACGTACCTTGGTTGCAGGTTCCTCCCCAGCCCAGGCCCTCATTGGGGTGCGTGCAGGAGGCAACCAATCGATGTGTTTCTCTCACATCGATATTTCTCTCTGTCTTTCCCTCTCTCTTCCAGTTTCTCTAAAAATCAATGGAAAAATATCCTCTGGTGAAGATTAAAATAAGGATTTAAAAAAAAAAAAAGGAGAGCACCATTGCCCTAGTCAGTTGTGCTCAGTGGTTAGATGTAGGGAGTGGCTTTAGGGTCAAGCCTTGGGCTGACCTGTGGCAGGACCACAAACAAGTCCCAGCCTGGAGGGCAGAGCTCTCCTAGCCTAATTAAGTCTGACCTTATAGCCCTCCCTAATTCCTTCCTAAGTAGCTAATGGCCTGTGGGAGGTGCAGCAAGTGTTGCCAAACAAGAACATTTGTATACATGTTAATCTACCCTTGTTTTAATCAGACCATAAAATAAAGCACCCACTTGCAGGCTGGGTCTTTTGTGTCCTCATCCAGGCACAGGAGACCCACCGAGCCCCAGCTGTATTCTCTTGTCTGTCTTTTCTTCAATCCTTCACCACCCTCCTCGGGTTCACCCTTGGCCATGCTGGCCCAGCACAGTTAGAGTATTGTGGGTTCGATTCCTGGTCAGGGGCATGTACCTCAGTTACAAGCTTGGTCCCCAGTCTGGTTGAGGAGCATGCAGGAGGCAGCCGATCAATGTGTCTCTCACATCCATGTTTCTCTCTCTCTTCCCCCTCCTCCCTCCCTTCTACTCTCTAAAAAGAGTATCATTTGAGATAACTTCTCGAGGTATTTGACTATTTGAGGTAGTCTTTCTGTCACTGTCCTCTATACACACCTTCTTCCTGCTGTGACAGCTAAAGCTGCAGCAACCTTCTTGCACCCACAAGGTGAAGGGCACAAGGACAAAAGCCAACATAATGATGGTGGGAAAGGAAGGAGTGAGTCTGGTCATCAGTGCTGTGGTTGAGCTGCTGAACTAGCCTCACTGCTTCTCTCCAGACTCCAATGTGAGAAAAGCCAATGTCTTCACTGGCCAAGCCACTGTGAGTTAGGTTTCTATTACTTGCAGCCCAACAAATTCCTAACGGAGAGACTTGAGAATTACCTTCATTCTTTCATTCAATAAATACTTATGGAGGGCCTATTTTTTGTTTGTTTGTTTTTAGTTCAATTTAAAAAACTAAAATTCTGCTACTAAGACTTTACCCAGATTTACCTGTAAAGGTGGGCCAAGATTTATAGGTACAAGGATACTAACGTCCAACAAGGGTTGACTCACTAAATTAGCTATTTTCATGGGATTCTAGTAAAAGAATATATGTGATGACATAAACTATCTCAAAGATACAAAAAATGATCCATTTTATATACATAAAAATGTAATTTTTTTCATAAAAATGTAATTTTTAAAAATTATCTTGGTTCTGCCCTAGCCAGTTGGGCTCAGTGGATAGAGTGTTGGCCTGTGGACTGAAGGGTCCCAGATTCAATTACGGTCAAGAGCACATGTTCGGTTTGTGGGCAACTAATCAATGATTCTCTCTCATCATTGACATTTCTATCTCTCTCTCCCTTTGTCTCTGAAATTAATAAAAAAAAATATTTTTTTAAAATTATCTTGGTTTCAAGAACCTAAAAACATCTCCTTTCTACAGTAACGCTACCTGGAGGAACAAATGGCCTGCCTTGGAGCAAGGGCTGTGCCCCAAAGAAGGAGGTCCAAGTAACTATAATAAACTGGCCCCTCAGCCCACGTCCATCCCCAACCCATGTTCTCTGATAAAAGAAAGGTCTGACTCTCCTACTCCTGAAGTTTAAGAGTGATCTATGGCAACTCACCAAGTTTTATCTTCCCATCTCCCCCCTAGCCACACCCAACCAGCACCTATTTTCAGTGTTCTCAGAAAGAATGGATCACCTATCCTTCCCAAATAGTCCCATAATTTCACAGCCATGCTCAGACCCCTAGCTCTCTTTCCTTATCTTAGTCCTCAAACAGTACAGACAAGCCCATCTGGTGTGGCTCAGTGGTGGAGCGTCTATCTATGAACCAGAAGGGCATGATTTGATTCCCAGTCAGGGCACATGCCCAGATAAAGTACAGACAAGAGGATCAGCACCAGCCTTTATTGAGGACTAGAAGCACCACACATCCACTCCCCAACCCCTGGGCTGTTTCTTATGCTCAGGCAGCAGCAGAACAGAAGCAGGCAATGAGCGCTCCTGGGACAGCACCTCTCCTGGCTTCCAGGACAAGCCCCTTTGGAGTCGCCAGAGAAGCTCAGGATACATCAGGACAGCGAGGGCACCAGGGTCTCTGCAAGAAGAAGAAACGTCAAGTCACAACTGTGCCCTCCAGGCTGCAGGTCCCCAGGTGTTTCCCCTCCACCGGAGAGAAGCTTGGCACAAATTGCTCTCGGAAACCTTAATCGGCTCCCTGCTTCCTACACAATCTAGTCCAAACTGGCATTGAAGACTCTTACCATTCAGATGTCAACTTCACCTCTCCTGTAACAACAGCAGCCTGTTCCTTTGCCCACTCTCACCTCCCACCTGCACCCCGACTCCCCAAACATGTCACATACATTTCACCCTCTGTGCCTTTGCTAACAATCACCAGACCGTCTGTCCAGCATGTTCTCTGGGCTGTCCTCCCTTTATCACATTCTGCCTCGCCTTTAGGGCCCACGTCAACTCCTCCTGCTAGCACGAAGACCTCCCAAGGAGCCCCACCTGCTCTGAAAGCCTATAAGCCCATACCGTCTCTGCAAGGGTTCTGTGATATACGACCTGGAACATCTGATCTTTCTCTCCCCAGTGATGGCGAACCTTTTGAGCTCGGCGTGTCAGCATTTTGAAAAACCCTAACTTAACTCTGGTGCCGTGTCACATATAGAAATTTTTTGATATTTGCAACCATAGTAAAACAAAGACATATTTTTGATATTTATTTTATATATTTAAATGCCATTTAATTAAAAAAAATCAACCCAAAAAATGAGTTCACGTGTCACCTCTGACACGCGTGTCATAGGTTCGCCATCACTGAACTAGACTCTCCAGGGCAGAGACTTGGTCTTGGCCTTCTGAAGTCCCAACCCAGCACCTAAGCCAGTGCCTCACACACCACAGTTTACGTCCATTGTTTTTGAGGATGTCAGACCGTACTCACCTAATTCATGGTCCCGTTAGGGTTCCTGGCCAACTTGGCGCAGCATACCCGGCGGGACACAGAAGCGCCCGCAGCCTGACTTGCAGCACTTGCTCCCGGCTGGGCAGTTCTCATCCACCACGCAGGTGACAATGCACAGGCCCACCAAAACTCTTGGACAAGTACCGGCCCGTCCTGTGGGGAAGCAGACACAGGTAAAGAGGACGCTCGGCTCCACTGACTCTGAGTTCCCATCTGGAACTCAGGCATGGGGGCTCCCAGCAAATCCATCCCAGAAGCAAAGATCTGGCTGGGAAACCTTGAGCTGGAGGATCTGAGAATCTGTAGGCCCCAAGAGAGCACTTGGACCAAAAGTGTTCCAGCAGGGTCCCACAGGGAGCTCCCTAAAGGGAGCTGGGGGTTTGACACTTCTGTGGGCGTGGGCGTGGGCGTGGGGCTGGGCAGAGTGCAGAAGGAGCAAGGCTCCCAGACCACTGCCCTCCCAGGTGCTTGGGCTCCACAGGGTCACTAGGCTTCTCCGCCACCCTAGACAATGTTTGTGCTTTGCGTTCCTTTCATCCAACGTTACTATCATTCACTCATTTGTCTACCTTCCCTGATAGGCTATCTGCTACATAAGGACAAGAATCTGTCCCCAAGCCCTGGCCCTTGCCCGGGGATGTAAATGCTGTCTAAAGACAACATCTGGGCCGGTGCTTCTGAAATGGAGTTCCACGGTGCCTGGCACAGCAGGAGCACTCAAAACATACATTTGTTTAAAACACATATTGAAGAAACAAAGAAATCACATCAGGAATGCTTTTATCTGTTGCATTTATGTCCCTTCCAAGTAAGATTTCAGGAGGTGGGGAAGCTTTGCGCAAAGAATTAGGTCAGAAAATCATAATCTGGGGCAATGCCCTCATTTTACAGGTAAAGAAACTGGCTCAAAAAGAGGGGTTGGTTTGCCCAAGGTCACAGGGCAAATCATCAGCAGAAGCAAGACCAGAAGCCACGCTGCCTGGCTCCCAGCCTGGGGATTTGTCCTGCTGCCCCACCTGCTTTCCCCTAGTTATGTTTTTATTACTTTTTTTTTTTTGCTGGGTTTGAGGTTTATTTTTTCTCTTTTTATTATTATTTTATACTTTATTGATGAAGGTATTACATATGTGTTCTCTAGATATTAATGCCAACAAGGACCACTGGCCCTAGGAGGAGGGGTTGCCTTGGGTGGAGGGGCCCAGGAGGACAGGAAGGGTGAGAACTCTGATCCCGCCCGGGAAGGGAACGGCAAGAAGGCCTCAGATGACTCCCTCCCAAACTGACTCTGGGGCTCAAGGCGCACTCAGGGAGTCCTTCCCCCAAAAGTCAACATACCTCCTAGAATGTCTCCTCGGCAGTTGTGTCCACAGCCGGTGCTGCAGCATTTCTGCCCCTGAGGACAGGACTCGTCTCCATCACACAGCTCCTTGCATGGAAGGGGGTCGGCAGGACATTCACCGCCAAACTCTGCCATAGAATCAGAGCACTGGGTCCCTGAGGTGTTTCCAGCTATTTTTACTGTGACTCTTGAGTACCAAATGCTAGTCCATTTTTCATGTTGTCCCATATGTACGTTAATACAGATGTGTGTTTAAAATGGACATATCCGGGTGCACTCATGGACCTGTGACGCTGATGCTTTATATTCTGTGTCTCCTTTTCTTAATGCAGGCCATCAACTACTAAATTCCTTTCAAGACTTGCAGTTTGAAAAACACTGTTGAGGTCTAACCCACTTTCTGACGGTGATGACATCTACACTGGTGGCCCCACTGAGCCCCACCTCCTGGGATCCCTGCCCTCGTATAGCCGTCTCCCAGATTGTCTCCGGGCTCCACCATGGGACTTGCTTTGACCAACAGGACATCAGCAAGTGTGACTGGTGTGAGCAGAGGCTGGATACACAGTTACATAGTGAGGTTGTCCTCTCAGAACACTCCCTCCTGGAAGCCAGCCGCCGCGCTATGTAGCAGCTTGATGCCATGCCCCATTAGAGAGAACCTGGCTGAAGAGAGGATCCTGGGCATCCCAGCCACGGTCGGGCTCCCCACGGAACCCCCAGACACATGCAGCCATAGAAGTGGTGTAAGAGCTGCACCATGTGTTGTAAGAGCTGCCCACCTAACCCACACTAAGGTTGGGGGTGGTGTGCATGCAGCAACAGATAACTGAAACACTGGTTAACGGAACCCCAGGTTTGTTCTGAGAGGCAATGAGCCCAGCCAGCTAAAATGACTTGCTTCCCCATATTCCCCTGTAACTAGGGTGGCCACAAACTGAGGCGTAGCTGGGCCAACTTGTGCACTCCTGATGTAGAGACGACACCTTTCAAACTGCCCCTCGCTTCAGCCTTCTTCCAGTGCAAAGGCTGACACAGCACAGGGAGGCAACTAGGATAAGAAGAAGTCCAGGTCGCAAAGAGAAAGCAATTGTTTCATCCTTGCTGGCGTCATGGAGCTGCCACCCCACCCCTCGCACCTGCTTCAGGGCTTCTCCTTATGCAAGAACAATGAACCCCTGTTCAGTTAACTTTCTGCCACGTACAGACACACATCCCTGACATGTCCCTTCACCGTCCCTATGGAAATAACGAAACTCAGAGAAGAGAAGGGGCTTGCCCAGAACTGCAGAGTGAGTCAGCAGCACAGCAGGACAAAACTCAGCCTCCCGGCCCGCTATGAAGCACTCTTTCTGCTGCTACATCATCCTTAAAGCACGCAGACACCGCTCCAGGTCCTTGGGAACAGGCACACCCAGAGAGGTCACATCCAAACCAAACCAACGCGCCGTGACTCATTCACCTCAGCCTTTACTTCAAGTTTTTTAAATGGAAAAAAGTGACAGGCGATTAAAGACTTTGCAGAAAACCAAGGCAGGATTGGCTCGGTGCCTCTGAGTAAGAACATGTAATACATTTGCATATGGCTGGCTCCAGGAAGTCTGCCATGATGGAAAAAGCAAGTGTTTGGCCTCCAGCAAGAACACACGTAGCTAAACAATCAAGGTATAATCACCCTGCACCTTAGGGTTCTCCTGAACAGCTCCTATTTCAAATATTCTGTGCCACTATCAGATCACATCAAAACTACATGTCCTGATTTTTATTTCAGAAATAAGGTCACTATAACCACCAGATACCTGCTCATACCTCCCCACCTGCTTGACAAACATTAAATCCAGTTAACAAAGAACAAAGCTTTTTGTCCTGCGGTAAAATCTCCCTGGTGGAAAACAACCAGCAACGTAAACTTCTCATATGCCTTAGAAAGTGGTGCCTAGAGTGGCACACTTCCCAGATTTCACTATTTTGCTGAGCGTGGCCCTGAAGTGACCAACGTCAGGAGCACTCTTTTTATTATTTTATACTTTATTGATGAAGTATAAAATAATAATCAATTGATGTGTCTCTCTCACATCAATGTTTTCCTCTCTGTCTCTCTCTCTCTCTCTCCCTTTCACTCTCCTTAAAAACCAATGGAAAAATATCCTCCAGTGAGGATTAAAAAAAAAAAAAAGCCAGACCTCCCTAAGTTAAGTTATACATCTAACACCTCTGCTACTGGAAGGGAGTAGAGGTCTGGTCTCTACGCTAGTCCTGGGAATGAGGGCAGCTGCTGGCAGAAAAGTGAAATCCCAGGACATCCTAAGCCAAGAAGGGCCCTGTGAGCTCTGAAACCTACTCCTCTTCTCTTGCAAACAGACATCCAGGAAAAGAGGGCTTGACCTGAGATCAAAGAGGGCAGAATTGGGTCCCAAAACCACCATGGTGCCCTTTGAACCACATCACTATGATCCCCCTACTCCACAAGGATCACCCCAAAACAGATCAACAAGCGCTGGGACTCACTCAGCCCAGTTCTACCAAAAGAGAAGACCCGGTGGTAGACAGTGGTAGGAGTTAGGAAAACAGAAACAACCCAGTGTGTCAGGAGCCCCTGAGACCATCCTAGGTTTGGTGATTCACTGGGGCAAACAGGACTTAGCATAGAGCTATGCTCATGGCTCTGATTTATTAAGTCTATAATCTCAAACCATGACGAGGACATGAGGAAAATTAAAGGGTGCGGAGAGGTAGAATAACTGGGGACTCGCTTTAGATTGGATACAATGGCCAGCTCCACACACTGGGCAGATTGTACCAGGCCCTACAAGCTGGCAGTGAGGGACCCGCCTGAGACAGATTCCCAGGCTCTGGTTCCAGGGCTGGACCTCAAGAGTCCTGGCAAGGAGCACAACCCTCTATTCTCTCTTATGGGCAGGCTGCCCAAGAGAACTGCCTACGCCAGGCACAGACAACTCGACTGGGCACGGGGAAGGGGCCTGCCACCTGGGGAGGTGTGGCTGGAAGGAAAGAGGTTGTCGCGTGGTGTGGAGTGGCTGGGTCTCAGAGAAGATGTGCTCAGGGGAGGAGAAAATTACCCTGGTTTCCGATGAAAGGGCTCATTAGAAACTGCACCCCGATGGGTGCACCTGAAGAGGCAAATGGAAGAGAGCTCATGGATAGTGAGGGCCAAACACTGTACACACTTTGAATCATTACCACAACCTGCGAGGTTTATTCTTTCCATTTTGCAGCGAAGGGAACTGAGGCTCGGAGAAGCAGAAGAGACTTGGCCAGGGACCCACTGGCCAGTGACTGGTGAGCCTCCCACTTGAACCCGGACCGCAGACCTCTGACAACCAAAATCTGTGCTTTTTCAGTGTTATATGCGGCCACATGTGCTCATGGGAGAGAAGGTTCCGGTTCCTTTAGAAAACATACTGGAAGGCATAATGTGATTCTATTGGAGACAGCAAAGAAGATAATAAAGTAATCTGAGTATCAACTTATCAAAAAATACTTTAAAACTAGAAAACACCTTGAAATACACTTAGAAAATGGGAAGTCATAAAGATACAACGTAAGATCTGCCCTAGCCAGTTTGTCTCAGCAGAAAGAGCGGAGGCCTGGGAACTGAAGGGTTCCGGGTTCGGTTCCAGTCAAGGGCATGTATCTAGGTTGCAGACTCGATCCCCAGCTCTGGTTGGGGCATGTGCGAAGGCAATCAATTGATGTGTCTCTCTCACATCAATGTTTTCCTCTCTGTCTCTCTCTCTCTCTCCCTTTCACTCTCCCTAAAAACCAATGGAAAAATATCCTCCGGTGAGGATTAAAAAAAAAAAAAAAAGCCAGACCTCCCTAAGTTAAGTTATACATCTAACACCTCTCCAATAAAAGTAGCCTCAATATTTAGAAGGGAGTAAGTGGGGACTAGACAATGTGATAATAAAACATATTTGGGAGCACAAGCAAACAAAAGGAGCCATGACCATCTGAAAAAAGGGACATGAGAGGGGCTGGCAGGGGAGACACACCATCCATTTCTAATGCCTTTTGGGGGCCGCTCAGGGAATGGGGAGGAGCTGAGGAATAGCAGACAGTTTTCTCACTTCTACTTCCAAATTCTCTCAGTTGTGTCTCCTTTCTCCATCCCCACTGCCGCCTCCCTAGTCCAACTGCACTCTGTCCTCACCGGGAGTCATTCTCCTGCTCCCTGTCTCAACCATAGCAGCTTCTTTCAGTTTCTCACATGTGGCAGGATCCTTCTCAGCTTAAAGACCTCTGCGCTTGCTTCTCTCGTTCATCACACCCTTGACCTGGCTAACTTCAACTCCAGGTCTCAGGTTAAATGTCGCTGCCTCAGACAGGCCTCCCTTGACCATCCAATCTAAAGTGAGCTCCCGGTCATTCTATCTCTCAGCACCCTTTAATTTTCTTTCCTCCATGTCCTTGTCACGGTTTGAGATTACAGACTTATTTCATGCTTGTCTGTTAAGCCTCTTTCTCCCCCACTAGTCTATGAGCTCCACGAAGGCAGGGACTGGATCTGCTTTGTTCACCACAATTTACCCAGAACCCATCGCTGGATCTGGTGAAGCATAGTAACCTCCATCTTGGGTAAAAACTGCTGTTTAAAATTTTAACCCTGCTATTCTGGCTTCTGTAAACATTTGCTTGCTTAAATAATAGGGAAAAATAAGACTACTCCCATTCCAGAGAGGCTATGAACTATGCCCCAGACAGGGTTTGCAGTCCTGGTGCCAGGCCAGGCCTTGAGATATGGTCTCACGGCCCTGGCCCAGCAAACAGGACTTTTTCTGAGAAGGTCCGGAAGTCTCGTTCTAAATTTGGGAGACAAAGAGCTGAAAAACGTATAAATAGGAAAGACTTCCACCAGGTTGGGCCCCAGAATTTGAGAAGCAATATTTCCTCTGGGCCCAATAGTGCTAGCAAAATGAAAAAGACTCCAAATAAATTTGGCTTATTGATTAAGGCATCTTCTGATTTACAATATAACACTGGCATATAGTAAATACTCAATAAATATATACAGAAATAATGTATAAATGGAGAATTCGCTCATGGGGACCCTGTAAGAGTTGGAAAGAAGACATCTCTTTCAAACACCTCTTTATGAGAATCAGAATAAAATAGGACCCATTTCCAACAGGAGACAACAATCCTATGTGTGGACAGAGGCGACATGGAGTCTCAGTAGCAGGTAGGGGGGTGGGGGAGGGGCGGGTGCTGCCTTGTATAGGTAGCAAGATTCTTTTTGCTGCCTCTTTGCAGATTCTCCAGCTACGATTTTCATAGAGAATACTGCAACTGACAACAGGAATTGGAAATTACCCATCAGCTTTCAAATCTGCCCACAAATATACACTGAGTGGCCAGATTATTATGACCAGCCAGATTATTATGACCACCCCATCAGTACAATGAAGTGAATTAGTTATGCAAATAATAATAATAATAATAAAACCTTGAGAGTATTAGGAAGTTTTCAATATTCAGTATTTTTGCAAGTGTCAATGAAGTACTGATGGGGTGGTCATAATAATCTGGCCACTCAGTATAGATATGCCAAGATTTCCCTTCTGGCAGCCTTTTCTGCCTGCCAAGGCCACATCCCACAAACCACCATGGCTTGGGTACCCTTCCTATATCTTTTCTTAGAAAAGATCTCAGGATATAGGAGGCACTTCATTGTTTTTCAGAATAAAGGAAAACCAACAACGAAATGGCATGTGCATATCTGAGAAAGAAACGAGGAGGCCAAGCACAGCCTGGGGTACAGAGCGAGGTTTCTGACCCCGCTCTGTTTAGGGATCGGGATGACACAGCTCCTGCTGCTGCCAAACCTGCAGCATTTCTTAACACCTGACGCACCTTTTAAAACAGGATTGTTTCCGAACAATCCTAGGACAATCTCCTTTCCTCCCTGCAGCAGAAAAGGAGACAGCCACACAAAGAGAGAGAGAAAGAGAGAGGGAGAGACAGAGAGAGACAGAGAGAGACAGAAAGAGAGAGAGAGAGAGAGAGAGAGAGAGAATGGTGCCTGGTGACACCCACAGTCATAGCAGACCAGACAATCAGAAGAAGAAAGCCCTGAGCTTTATTTAGGACTCTCCACCCTGGTGCTAAAGCAGAGACAGTGACAACATGGATAATAGCTCACATTTACTGTGACATTTACTTGTGCCAGAAGCCTCTCATATGATCCTCACAACAATTCTAAGAGGTACAAACATGTATCCCCATTTTACAGATGAGGAAATTGAGCCTTAAAATTTAACACTTAAAAGAACTATTTAAGGCTGATTTAAGGCTTACGAAAGTCTGCCTGGCTCTAGGGTTTACTCCGTTCACCCGATCTTAAACAGGCTTCCCTTCACAGCTCTGCCCTCCAGCCTTCACTAGAACCCTGAGTTCAAAGTGAAAGACAGAGGTCATTGGTCACACGTTCTTCCCTGATTGACAAGGGACTGGGGGCACTGGGTGTTAAAGGAGAAGAGACCCCAAAAGGAGAAAGAAGAGGTGCTCTAGGCAAGTTAGATTTCAAGAGCCAATGTAGGAGGCAGGAAGTTCTCTGGGTCTTTCTAGCCCAGAGGCAAGTTCAGAAAGCACACTTGGATTTTGCCCCTCATTCCAACGGACCCTTGAGCGTGCCTCCTCGGCAGACCTGACCACAGGCTGTGCTGCAGCACTTCTGCCCCGCCGGACACTATTCACCCCCTTGGCACAAATCTTTGCACGGGTTCTTGTCAAGAGGACATTCTCCTTCTTTCACTGCAAAAGATATCATGGGAGGTTGGCGTAACAGGCCAGGCCTCAAGAAACGGGGAATGGAAGCCAAATGTACTTCAAGAACTTTCAACCTCTCCAAACACTCCTATGTAAATATCTCTGCAACCATGTTCCTCTCCACCCACACAACCACTAACACACACACACACACACACACACACACACACACACACACACACACACCGCTACTAAAGGACCAGCCATTCTGCAAATAGAGAGAGAGAAAGAAAGGCTGGGGTGATCCTGTTCTCATGTAAGACTCTCTAGGACAGCGGTTCTCAACCTGTGGGTCGCGACCCCTTTGGGGTCGAACGACCCTTTCACAGGGGTCGCCTAAATACATCCTGCATATCAGATATATACATTACGATTCATAACAGTAGCAAAATTACAGTTATGAAGTAGCAACGAAAATAATTTTATGGTTGGGGGTCACCACAACATGAGGAACTGTATTAAAGGGTCGCAGCATTAGGAAGGTTGGGAACCTCTGCTCTAGTAGAAAGCCAGAGAGGGTGAAGAAAGCCTGGGTAGCCCACCCTCGCTGTCCCCAGAACCTCTGCATCCAGTCCCGTCCTACAGAGATGGCCATGTCCACAAATGAGGCCCCTCACCCTGGGAGGAGGCAGGGGACGGCTTCTCTGGTCACTTTCTGTTACTGTAGCCAGGGATGATGACTCACCATGCTCTCCTGCAGCCACCCAGGATGTCAGGGTCCCAAGAGCAAGAAGTGCCTTCAGGAGGAAGAGGGAGCTCAACATGATGATGATGCTGAGAGTTGAGATGAGAGTCCAGGTCAGGCCAGAGGTGTTCACCTGGCCCAGAGTATCAGCTGGACGAAAGTAGGACTAGGAGACTGGCCTAAATCTAGCCCCAAAGTTTGCCCTTTTATAATAGTCGCCAAGGACAGCCTCTTCTGACAAGAAGAAAAATGATTGGTTGTTGGTCTGTGGGAAAATTCCTGGCACTACCAAAGGGCACAGGGTGGTGATCAAGCTCTGTAATGCGCCATACGCAATAGCCCTGGACAATGGTGATGAACCTGGGAAATTGGAGGGAAGGCCACTGGATCGAGGATCAGAGAGAGCCCTGCAGGGCCTTGGGAGGACACAATGACAGGACTTAATAAGAAAATAACCAGAGTTAATGAAATGCACTGTGGCTCCTGTTCATCCTAGCAACCTAGAAAACAGATACTTAGAAACTCAAAAAGCTACGAAGAGCTACCTTTGAGTCTGCTCAGAACTAATTCAAATGCACCAAAACCTACATCTTGGTCCCTCTGGCCCACACAGGCCGTCCTAGGACTGTATGAAGGCTATGTGACAGAACCACCAAGAATAGTTGCTATGATTCAAGTAAATCCAGACCATATAACCTCCTTTATTTATCTCTCCTTGCTCTATTTCTTTTTTAAAATATATATATTGTTACTTATTTCAGAGAGGAAGGGAGAGGGAGAGAAAAACAGAAACCTCAATGATGAGAGGGAATCATTGATCAGCTGCCTTCTGCATGCCCCCCACTGGGGATCAAGCCTGCAAACCGGGCATGTGTCCATGACTGGCATCAAACCCGGGATCCTTCAGTCTGCAGGCCGATGCTCTATCCACTGAGCCAAACCAGCTAGGGCCTCTATTTTTATTTTTATTTTTATTTATCTATCTGCTTATGACTTTGGTCAGCCATGATATCTAATAGTGTCCAGTGGCACTGCTTAGCCCAGTGAGGTTAAAGGGCAGGGAACATCCAAGACTCAAGATAAAATCCTCCTTAATAGTGCCAAAGAGTTCAGTGTCAGGAAGTTGCCTTGTTTTTGTTTTGTGGTGTGTGTGTGTGTGTGTGTGTGTGTCTTGTGCCTTATTGTTTTAAGGCTGATATTGGAGCATGGATATTGATGTCCTATTATGTGCTTTATATACATTATTTTAATCCTCACAATAATCTTGCCGAGGTAAAAGTGGCTCAGAGGGACTGAGGAAAATGGCCCAGGGTCCTAAAGCTACTATGTGGTGGCTGCTGGAATTTAATACTAGTAATGACAGCATTGTTTGAGGGTTTACTTGTGCCACAGTTCTAAGTGCTTTATATTAATTAACTCACTTAATCCTCACTGCAACCTATGAGTTTGTTACTATTATCTCCATTCTACAGATGGAGAAACTAAGATGCAGAAAGAAACGTGGGTCACACAGCTAGTAACTGGTAAAACAAAGATAGGCAGTCCAGTTTCGTAGTTCTTAACCACCGTTTAATGCTGGATTTCAACTCAGATCTTGCTAACTGCAAAACCCACATAGACAGGGCACATACCCAGGTTTTGGGTTCAATCCCTGGTCAGACTGCCTGTGGGAGGGAGTCAATCAATGTTTTCTCTCTCTCTCTCTCTCTCTCTCTCCCTCTCTCTCAGCAATTTCTATATATAAAGTGCCAGGGGCCATCGCAACCGAACTGACGACCAAACGGACAACCAAACAGGCTGAGTGGTGCAACAAGGCTGGCAGGGGGGTTAGTGAGGGACAACCAAAGGACTGAGCAGCAGGCTGTGTGGGGCCACCAGTCTGGCAGGGGGGGGCAGGAGGGGTGACCAGGCTGGCAGGGGGTGCAGTTGGCGGCAACCAGGCCGGCAGGGGCGGGCAGTGAGGGGCAACCAGGCCGGCGGGGGTGGGGGCAGTTGG